CCTGCTGATGCCGGCATTTATCCTTCTCTATGCTTAAGGAACCAAAGAAACTGAAAGCAACAGTGCAAAAACAGAAATGAGGAAAAACTGGAAGACATACCGATTGCATTGCATTTCCCCTTCTTCAGTTTCTAACAATGAGATCTAAAGCTTCTGATCAGAAGACAGTTTCTTCCTGCAATGACTTAAGGTTACAAGAAAGAAAGTGAATGTGACATGTGATCTAACACCATCGTTTGGAAAGAGGACCTTTTAGGCAATCTTAACTTGGCAGTGACCCACTTCTTTGTGATTGTTATTTCCCAACTTGTGCTTCTAGTCTCATCTGTCTGGTTTTGTAAGACATGTAAAACCTGGGAATTCTTTCTTGACTTGTAAGTGAGCTCCCGAGAAAGAAAAATCAAATCCATCCATCTGCTTTTTGTGTATCCGAGTATATAATGTGTGCAGCATGATGGATAAAAATGAAACTGGAGCATGTGAATAAAACCATGAAATCAGACCAAGCACTTGGCTTTGACAGTGGGTTCGAGCTGCTTCCAGAGCCCTTTGCCCCGTTATGACACATTGGGTTCCTCCTCCTCTCTATTCTTTCCTTGTGACGGAGTATAGTTTGATGATACTTCAACTTGGAACGCATCTCCCTTACCCTTTTCAGGCCAATTAAATTATATTATAGGAACATAACACGCATCGCCCCCTTAAAAACATATGACAGAGTACCAACTCGGATCGATCTGAATAGACTCTCACTCTCTCTCGTGGCGTAATTCCTAAGAAACTGCGTCCCTCTCTCAGCTCTGCCGGCGGGGTCAACGATGAATAGGAATCTGCGGGAATCTCTGACGGGAGGACGGAACATTCAGTTCCGAAGAGGTCCCAGCCTCAATGGATTCTCCAAGGATTTCAGCGAGAATCTGGATCTCTTCTCCACAAGCCGCCGCTCCTTCCCCTTACCTTCCGCCGACGATTCCTCTGATGGTTCGTTTCTACCAACTAATCGCTTTTTCCATTATGATTCTGTGGAATTATTCCGAGTGCAGCTTCAAGACGATATTATTGGCTCTTTGATGGATACCCTAATTGGCCATCGAGGCTGTCCAAACGCCTCAAGCTGTTTGTCAGTCTCTAGATCCACTTGCTCTCTATAATTGTTCCAAAATGGGGATCGCTGACCGTCATTCTGATCTAGATTCAAACTCCGAATTCAACCTTTTGTGTGTGTGTGTGTGTGTGTTTGCTCTAGTTTCCGTGAAACTCGGAAGACTCTCTGCGGCATCCATAACACTAACCAAGGCTAGAGCAGATGATCTCTTGTGTTCGACAGGAGGAGGAAAGCATGACTACGACTGGTATGTTTCTCTTCTCTTGCGGTGTGCATTTCCGCAAGATCGTCTTATTTTCGAGCCCGGCATGAATCGTCTTTTTCGTGTGCTCATCTTCGATGTGCAGTCTCCTCAATTTCCAGGATTCCAGAGTTTTTGAATGTCCAGCCTACTCTTCGTTTGCGAAGAAATCATTTAGTGTATTATAAGGTCAATATTCCTCTGGAGTGTATGTTTTTTTTTCCCTCGTCTCCAGGCTTCTCACTCCTCCTGGAACACCTCTCGGAAGCCAATCGCCTCCGAAGACCATTTCTTCATTTAGATCTAATTCTGCAGCAAAGGCATCAAGGGTACAACCTGCCTCTCTTTTCTGTGTTTCCTTGAATTGCCAGTCTGTCTTTGTTGTTGCTGATCCTTTTAGAAAAAAAAAGCTCCCTGCTATGTGTCAGATTCTTGTCATGGAAACCAAGTTTTACGTATGCAACTCATCTTTACTCAGATTTGAACCTCTTTTCCTTCTTCAGCTTTCAGTTTCGCATTCAGAAAGCAATTACCAATCCTCAAGACCAGCCAGAAGTAGTAGCTCTGTTACTCGCCCTTCCATCTCTACTTCACAATACAGTTCATATTCTCTGAGCCGGTCACCATCTTCTCTCCTGAACACAAGCTCTGCTTCAGTGTCATCCTACATTAGACCTTCGTCTCCAATCACCCGTTCTTCATCTACAGCGAGGCCTTCCACTCCCACTCGTACCACCTCATCAAGGGCCTCTACTCCTTCAAGAATACGTCCAAGCTCATCTAATTCATGCATAGACAAGACGAAACCATCCCTGGTGTCAAGGCCTTCTACTCCAACTTCTAGGCCACAGCTTTCAGCAAACTCGAGTGCGATTGCTTCTAGACCTAGTACCCGTCCTTCAACTCCTACACGTCGAAACCCATCCACCTCAGTATCTGCATCATCAGGACCCTATGTTTCAGGTGGACGTGCTGCATCAAATGGACGTATGGCAGTTTCATTGTCTAGGCCAAGCTCCCCTGGACCTAGAGACCGACCACCCCAACAGCCAATCGTGCCATCAGATTTCCCTCTTGAGACACCGCCAAATCTCAGAACAACTCTGCCAGACAGACCAATTTCTGCTGGCAGATCCCGGCCAGCGGCTGCTACTGCAACAAAGGCGAGTCCAGAGCCTAAAGGGCCGATGACAAAAAGGAATCCGTCTCCTGTTGTTGGAAGAGGAAGACTAACAGAGACACCTGGGAGGAGCCATGTCAGTGGTAATGGGAGGTACCTCACAGATGCTTCAGAGTCCCAGAAGGTTTCGAACGTGTCAGCCACAATGTCTCGGAGAAGTGTGAAGTCGTCTGCATCTGTCACAGACAATGGGCCTGGGAGGCCATTCTCAAAAAGTTCACTCGATATGCCCGTCAGGCACATGGTATTGTTTATGAGAGTAGTTCAGATTTTTTTTTTCCTTGCCTTGAGCTTCATCAATGACACCAAAAAACATTTGTGATGGTGTAGGACACGAGAAACGGGAAGGGGAGTTCAAGCACGAAAAGCATTAGGGCGGCCACACCGAGGATTCAGTCTATCCGTTCAGCAAATGAGACAGATTCCATCAACAGCCACAGCAGGGACTTGACGAAGAATGGGGCAAAGGAAGGAAGATTGGTGGGGAAGCTGAGTGAGAGGGACATGTACGAGAGCTCCCGCTACGATGCGCTGTTTCTGAAAGAGGACATGAAGAACATGAACTGGTTGCACAGCATTGATGACAAGTCATCAGACCAAGCACTTGGCTTTGACAGTGGGTTCGAGCTGCTTCCAGAGCCCTTTGCCCCGTTATGACACATTGGGTTCCTCCTCCTCTCTATTCTTTCCTTGTGACGGAGTATAGTTTGATGATACTTCAACTTGGAACGCATCTCCCTTACCCTTTTCAGGCCAATTAAATTATATTATAGGAACATAACACGCATCGCCCCCTTAAAAACATATGACAGAGTACCAACTCGGATCGATCTGAATAGACTCTCACTCTCTCTCGTGGCGTAATTCCTAAGAAACTGCGTCCCTCTCTCAGCTCTGCCGGCGGGGTCAACGATGAATAGGAATCTGCGGGAATCTCTGACGGGAGGACGGAACATTCAGTTCCGAAGAGGTCCCAGCCTCAATGGATTCTCCAAGGATTTCAGCGAGAATCTGGATCTCTTCTCCACAAGCCGCCGCTCCTTCCCCTTACCTTCCGCCGACGATTCCTCTGATGGTTCGTTTCTACCAACTAATCGCTTTTTCCATTATGATTCTGTGGAATTATTCCGAGTGCAGCTTCAAGACGATATTATTGGCTCTTTGATGGATACCCTAATTGGCCATCGAGGCTGTCCAAACGCCTCAAGCTGTTTGTCAGTCTCTAGATCCACTTGCTCTCTATAATTGTTCCAAAATGGGGATCGCTGACCGTCATTCTGATCTAGATTCAAACTCCGAATTCAACCTTTTGTGTGTGTGTGTGTGTGTGTTTGCTCTAGTTTCCGTGAAACTCGGAAGACTCTCTGCGGCATCCATAACACTAACCAAGGCTAGAGCAGATGATCTCTTGTGTTCGACAGGAGGAGGAAAGCATGACTACGACTGGTATGTTTCTCTTCTCTTGCGGTGTGCATTTCCGCAAGATCGTCTTATTTTCGAGCCCGGCATGAATCGTCTTTTTCGTGTGCTCATCTTCGATGTGCAGTCTCCTCAATTTCCAGGATTCCAGAGTTTTTGAATGTCCAGCCTACTCTTCGTTTGCGAAGAAATCATTTAGTGTATTATAAGGTCAATATTCCTCTGGAGTGTATGTTTTTTTTTCCCTCGTCTCCAGGCTTCTCACTCCTCCTGGAACACCTCTCGGAAGCCAATCGCCTCCGAAGACCATTTCTTCATTTAGATCTAATTCTGCAGCAAAGGCATCAAGGGTACAACCTGCCTCTCTTTTCTGTGTTTCCTTGAATTGCCAGTCTGTCTTTGTTGTTGCTGATCCTTTTAGAAAAAAAAAGCTCCCTGCTATGTGTCAGATTCTTGTCATGGAAACCAAGTTTTACGTATGCAACTCATCTTTACTCAGATTTGAACCTCTTTTCCTTCTTCAGCTTTCAGTTTCGCATTCAGAAAGCAATTACCAATCCTCAAGACCAGCCAGAAGTAGTAGCTCTGTTACTCGCCCTTCCATCTCTACTTCACAATACAGTTCATATTCTCTGAGCCGGTCACCATCTTCTCTCCTGAACACAAGCTCTGCTTCAGTGTCATCCTACATTAGACCTTCGTCTCCAATCACCCGTTCTTCATCTACAGCGAGGCCTTCCACTCCCACTCGTACCACCTCATCAAGGGCCTCTACTCCTTCAAGAATACGTCCAAGCTCATCTAATTCATGCATAGACAAGACGAAACCATCCCTGGTGTCAAGGCCTTCTACTCCAACTTCTAGGCCACAGCTTTCAGCAAACTCGAGTGCGATTGCTTCTAGACCTAGTACCCGTCCTTCAACTCCTACACGTCGAAACCCATCCACCTCAGTATCTGCATCATCAGGACCCTATGTTTCAGGTGGACGTGCTGCATCAAATGGACGTATGGCAGTTTCATTGTCTAGGCCAAGCTCCCCTGGACCTAGAGACCGACCACCCCAACAGCCAATCGTGCCATCAGATTTCCCTCTTGAGACACCGCCAAATCTCAGAACAACTCTGCCAGACAGACCAATTTCTGCTGGCAGATCCCGGCCAGCGGCTGCTACTGCAACAAAGGCGAGTCCAGAGCCTAAAGGGCCGATGACAAAAAGGAATCCGTCTCCTGTTGTTGGAAGAGGAAGACTAACAGAGACACCTGGGAGGAGCCATGTCAGTGGTAATGGGAGGTACCTCACAGATGCTTCAGAGTCCCAGAAGGTTTCGAACGTGTCAGCCACAATGTCTCGGAGAAGTGTGAAGTCGTCTGCATCTGTCACAGACAATGGGCCTGGGAGGCCATTCTCAAAAAGTTCACTCGATATGCCCGTCAGGCACATGGTATTGTTTATGAGAGTAGTTCAGATTTTTTTTTTCCTTGCCTTGAGCTTCATCAATGACACCAAAAAACATTTGTGATGGTGTAGGACACGAGAAACGGGAAGGGGAGTTCAAGCACGAAAAGCATTAGGGCGGCCACACCGAGGATTCAGTCTATCCGTTCAGCAAATGAGACAGATTCCATCAACAGCCACAGCAGGGACTTGACGAAGAATGGGGCAAAGGAAGGAAGATTGGTGGGGAAGCTGAGTGAGAGGGACATGTACGAGAGCTCCCGCTACGATGCGCTGTTTCTGAAAGAGGACATGAAGAACATGAACTGGTTGCACAGCATTGATGACAAGTCATCAGACCAAGCACTTGGCTTTGACAGTGGGTTCGAGCTGCTTCCAGAGCCCTTTGCCCCGTTATGACACATTGGGTTCCTCCTCCTCTCTATTCTTTCCTTGTGACGGAGTATAGTTTGATTGGAGCTGTGATGACAGCGTTCCGTCCTAGGCAAATGGGAGAAGGAACTAGGAAGTAGTACAAGAAACTGGAAAGGAATCCGAGGCCTAATATGTATTTGAGGAACTGAAGATGTTCTCTTTCGACCAGTCCTCTCTCATTCTTTGACCCCAAGCCAATTCTCTTCTCCTTTCAAGTTTTTCCATTCTATTTTGAATCAACTTTCGTCTTAGGCCTAATCCCCGCCGTTTTAGATGCAACCATATTTATTCCACACTTCTTATACGACCACATAACGTGAATTTGAATTCTACACGGGCACGCATTATCGTAGAATTTTACTCTTCTTTTAAATATATACGATCAAAACAAAACAAAATATATATATATATATATATATATTATTGGTTCAAATACTGTTTTACATAATACATACAGGAAATCTTAAAAAATATTTATTTGAAAATGCCCAACACAATTTACATTTTTTGTTAATGGACATTTCTTGTGAGAATGTTGTAATTCCCAGTCGTAGTAGTCAATGCATTGGGATTTTCCGGGGAGTGTACAGGGCAAAAAAAAAAAGAAAAAAAAAAAGAGAGATTCCCTCTAGTACAACTGGAAGTTTCGATGATTATGAGAAAGAAAGGGGACCAAGGGCATCGCCTTCTCCCACACTCGTTTTTCCTTTCTCTTCTCTCGTTGCAGCAGACGCGCAGTGGCCGAGACCAAGCCCCCTGTCGCTTCGTCTCCCAGATCCAATCGCTCCATCTCTCCCTCCCTCTCTGGTTAATCCCTAATTTTCCCTTTCTCCAATTTTTCCCCTAGGGTTTCTGGTCAGTTATGTCGGATCCTCGTTTTCCGCCGTGGTCTGGCGGGTTCCGAGGGGTTGACTTGTTTCTTTGCCCTTCCTCCCCAAAATCTATTTTTTCCCGTGTGTGCGCAGGTTTTGGGGTTTGACGCATGGCTTCAAAGCGTATTCTGAAGGAGCTCAAGGATCTCCAGAAGGATCCTCCTACAAACTGCAGCGCAGGTACTTGGAGTTGTTGGATCATTTACCTCTAGTCTGATGTTATAATTTGATAGATGATGTTTGATTTCACTGATCTAGATCAGTCATCCTGTTTAGTTGTGGGTTTCTCTAGTAGAAAGTTTATGATGTTTTACTTTTGCAACCGAACGAGGGTTTTATTAAAGTATGCTTTAAGCACTTGGCTTGAACTTTTGTTCTCCTTGATATCAATAGAAACCATTGAATCTTTTGTGATCTTACTCCGAGTTTCGCTGTGAACTTCTGCATGAGCCATCGAAAGCTTCTCTATTTGTTTTTTCTGTGGTTTCATGAATCTTTTGTGGGAGAGAGGTAATATGAGGTTTATGAACATCGCAATGAATAGGTCCTGTGGCTGAAGACATGTTCCACTGGCAAGCAACTATCATGGGTCCCCCTGACAGCCCATACGCCGGAGGAGTGTTTTTGGTCACCATTCATTTCCCTCCGGATTATCCTTTCAAGCCTCCAAAGGTGTTTTCTTTGTCTAGTCTGCTTGGGATGGGGAATTTTGTGCCCGGTTGAGATCTTACGATACTTTTCTTTACATAGGTGTCTTTCAAAACTAAGGTCTTCCACCCGAATATCAACAGCAATGGAAGCATTTGCCTTGACATCCTGAAAGAACAATGGAGCCCTGCACTTACCATATCCAAGGTTTAAGTTTGTTTGATCTTAACTTGATCTGTTGCCAAACTTCACATGTACCTGTACAAATTTGTTGCTTGTAAATATCAGTTAAAAGTATCACATGCGTTGCTGGCTTGACTTTGAACACAATATGTGGGTGTTGTAAGTTCTTGCATTTGCATTCTTGTTTGATGCAGTTGGGCTATATAGTGGCAGTTTGGGGTGGGTATAGAGAGGAATGCTAGGAGCAGAATGCTGTGCTTTTAATAATATGATTATAGCCTGATGTTGAAGCCTTGTGGTTTATGGAATGAAACCCATCTGGAGTGGGGAAGTATAGGCGGGAACAAACACTTGTACTCATGCTGGTTAAGTTGTTTCCCACAGGTTCTGCTGTCGATTTGTTCACTGCTGACAGACCCGAATCCAGATGATCCGCTGGTGCCTGAGATTGCTCACATGTACAAGACAGACAGAGCAAAGTACGAGGCGACTGCACGCAGCTGGACCCAGAAGTATGCCATGGGATGATGAGTTCTAATTTTAGCTGGAGCAAATGCTTTTGATTTTATCATACAAGTGTCTATGGGGGAGACCGAACTTAAGACTTGTGTTGGCTGCCCTGCTGTGATGTGATCATAATCGAACATGAATGACACTCAGGCTTGTGTGGTTATTATGACCATTTCCCTTTTTTTTTTTCTAAAAAAACATACTAATAATTATATCCCGTGCCTCTCTGCCTTATGCATGCTATATGTTACTGTGACTCTATTCGTTGTTTGCATTTGTCCAAATCTATTGGAGAAAATTTGGATGGGATTGTCATTGTTTGTGACCGAGAATATTAGCGTACGTATGGACAAATGAACATTTGGTGGAAATTATGTAAAACTTGGCACCATATGCTGTGTAAATTTATGAAACGTGAAACGCCATTGCTTTGTGAAGGGAGGGGCAAATGTGTAATTTTAAAGGTAGCAGGGAGTAAAGCGGTTCGGTCGGGGGATGAATCGGAATCGGATGATGCAGTTTCTTCTCCTCTGCGTCAAATTGGCTCTGCGGATTGGATTTCCCCGAGGGCGAAGACGATCCCTCTCACGATCGGACTCCTCATCGTCATCCCAAGGTACCTCTTTTCCCATCTCGAGATCGCCATGCTTCTTCCTTCCGCAAGGTCTTCTTTCTCTGGTTTCTGAGTTCCCCTGTCTTCTCAGGCCTTTTCCGCAATTTGAATTCCCAGACCTGCACATGGGCAACTGCGTCGTTAAGGTAATGATTCTCCTTTCTTTCTATTCTACAATCTCTTTTATCGCCTTTTCTTTATCCACCGAAACCCTTTGTGCTGGGCCTGCCCTTCATCGTGTATTCCCTCTTGAATAATAGACAAGGTGTTTCAAGCCTTAGGATTTGGCCTCAAAAAAGGCGTTTTTATTTCTTCGAAAAGCTTCTCCTTGGTCATTCTAGATTAGCTTGCTCGTCATCACTCTATCAGCATTTTCTTTCTCCGTAGAACCAAAAAGATGATGATTCAGACAACCAAGTTGAGTTTTCCGGTGGAAACGTTCATTTGGTAACAACAAAAGAGAGCTGGGATCAGAAGTTGGCAGAATCTAGTCGTGATGGCAAAATAGTATCTTTCTTCCATCCCCTATCTCTTCTTCTTCTTCTTCTTCTTCTTCTTCCACCTGATGGGTTAATGGTTTACTTGAGCTCATGAGCGAGGATGGGCATCTAACAGGTCATTGCAAACTTCAGCGCCACATGGTGTGGTCCATGTAGAATGGTGGCACCGTTTTACATCGAGTTGTCAGAGAAATACCCTTCTCTGATGTTCCTTCTAGTAGATGTTGATGAGCTCAGTGTAAGTGGGCGAGCTTGTTCTGTAGCTACAATTTTGTAGGGTTGTTTGCAGAATCCGGTTCTATAATTTCACAGGGTATCTGTGAAATGCAGGATTTCAGCTCATCATGGGATATAAAGGCGACACCGACCTTCTTCTTCCTGAAGAATGGAGAGCAAATAGGCAGGCTTGTTGGAGCAAACAAGCCAGAGCTACAGAAGAAAATAACAGCTATCGTTGATTCAGCGCAGCCACAGTGATTGGTAAGCTGGTGAAGTTGGTCACTTGCTGAGTCCTGGGCAGTTCTGTCTTTTGTGTGTGTGTGTGTGTTTGCTTGTCTTTTAAGGTTATGTAAGTTATGTCTTCTGATCTGATTGTCATTGTCCATGTACATAACATAGGCGTTTCCACTCAACATTTTCGTTCCACGGTGATATAATGCAAGTTCTCTTCTTTGGTATTCCTAGATAACCATGAGTTCGATTATATCTCTGTTAATCGTTATGCAGATCGGTCATTTGAAAAGATCATGTGGTGAAACTACATGTTTCTGTTATGAATAAACCGATGATATCCCTGACTCCATTTGTATTTCCCTCATTTGACAATTAAGTGGGTATTCAAAAGCCTTTGAATCAAATGAAGCGAGACAAGATCTACAAATTAGATCACCTGGGAGGCAATGAAACGACAAAAAAAGTCCATGAAGGTATGAACGTTATCTGCCTGCTGTTTGAAAATTCCTGATAAATGTCTTGCTTATGAGAATTGTCATTTCATTCTCAAGGGGAAGCTCTGAAGGGATGAACGTACGAGATGGTTTGGACATGTTATTGCTGGTTCGCATTTGTCCTTCTGCAGTGTAGTTCAGAAACACCCATAAAGAACAGTTGAAGAACTGGCCCTTCTGAGCCATATCCAGCCAAGAAAATGTGGAGTTCCATTATAAGAACCTTCAGACGGCTTTTTTCTCTGTTTTTCAGTTATCTAAACCATTTTTTTAAATCTCGAAGACGTTTTCTTTATGAGTTGTATGCTCAGGTTTCCTGCTG